CATGGGCTCAACCCGGATGGGTCAACGGCGCGGGCCTGGGTTGTAGTCCAAAATTTGTGGGCTGACCCGGAACCCGTAGCGGAAGGACTTTTTTTTCACGCTGGCCGTTACCGGGCTCATATGTTGGCTGGTCGACCCGACCCGGACCACCTGTATTGACACCTCTAGCCAAACGAACACAAAAATTTAAAATTTTCCTGGTGGAAAATTATACCAATCAAACACACTTTATTAACAATTTTCTGTAAAATAATTTCTAGACAATTACTTTCCTTAGAATTCATTTTCTTTCCAGCCATTTTCCACCCTTACAATCAAACGAACTCTTAGTCGAACTATTAAGAAAAATAGAGCTCTAAGTATACTAGGTTAGCTGGTTAAGGAAATCTCTACTTATGAAATCACTTAATTGTTAAGTTAATTAATTTAGTAAAGACGCATCGATACGGAAGCCATGGATATTGACTAGGCTAAGTGTCCGTTTGACAAAAAATTTCTTTTGCTTTCTTTCATGTAGAAGGGCTTTTGGAGGGAACCAACTTACTTTTTTTTTTAAAATCAAAAGCTCATCTAACTATCGAAAGCACTTTCATAAAATTAATCAAATGAGTCCAAAGTAACTTTTAGGTCTTAAAATCTCATTTTAACTTTTCAAAAGCCATGTCAAATGAACTCTAAGGGACAAACTTCATTTCCTTTATTCTCTTTATGAAATAAATCACCAAAGCCACAAGATATTCTCTTTATAATCCTTTTTTGTTACAGGGAATAATATGCTCGGCAATGGCATTTTGTCTAATGACGTGGTGTATTAGAAAGAGAGGTCCTTTGTATGTCTCAGTCTTTAGCCCTTTACTGCTTATTATTGTGGCCATTCTCAGTTGGATTTTATTCGAAGAAAGTTTATACATTGGAACGTAAGTATATCCTTATTTTTCTATCAATATACGAGCTAGGAATCAATGTAAAATTATTCTAATAATTTATCTTTTTTGGTTGATTTAGTTTTGTAGGATCAGTATTGATTGTTGTTGGACTTTATGGTGTACTATGGGGGAAGAATAGAGAAATTGAGGTCATTGTTCATAATATTGAGGATCAAGATGAAGAAGGAACTACAGCAAATGGATTTGAAATTACAAGAAGAAATGGAGAAATTACAGCACCAAATGGCATGGAAGTTACAGAATCAAATGGCATGGAAATTACAGTTATTTGAGCACTCAATTATCAACCTTATCTGATACCTAGAGACAAATCAAGGGGAAAATACTTGGTTGTTGTACGAAGGATGCACTCGAGATCTCAAACTCTGTGTATTGTGAAATATTAGTCGAGTGAACATGGATTCACACAACATATCCTATGTACGAGAAATCTCTCCTTGAATTCTCTCTTTTCGTGTATCTTTATGAATAGTTTTTTATAAATAATTTCATTTATTATAAAGTTCGAAGTTATATAAGCGATGGACGGTAATATAAAGCCCTGTAGAGAAAATGTTGTGTACCAGACAACTCATCCAAATACAAGGTTTATGCAAAAGCAGGACTATTACAACATGTTTGAATGAGTAAAGTTGGGTTAAATACATGATGAGTCGCTCAACTTTTAGTTGAGTTGCATACGAATTACACATAAGCTATTTGATGGTTTGGACTACTAATATTGGGTGTCAGTGATATGGAGTTACACGTCAACCGTGTTAGTTCTGACATTCACATCAACCGTTCACGTAATTTGAGCAGCGATAACAGTGACCAAGACAGTACATATGAATTTAAATTGAAGTTTGGCTACTTGATTGGAAGAAATTAAAGTTGATTGTTCTAGATGCAATTCTGCTGAAAGTTGAGTGAGCCGCAATGCATTCAACTTGGATAACATTTGTCAATACGAATAAAAAGCAAAAAATTAAAACAATCTTAATCTTTATACTATTTAATTGTGCCAATTGCACCAAATATGCCTTTTGAGGCCACAATGGATTTTATGATGGTTCCCTTTTCCGTAAGAGCGTGACAAGTATTTTAATATTTAAAAGGTGAGTTTGAAGGTCTATTCTAATGTAAGAAAGTAAGTGTGTTGAGGTTATGGATTCACTTAGTCGAACTATTAAGAAATAGAGATCTAAGGATACTAGGTTAGCTGGTTAAGGAAATCTCAACTTATGAAATCACTTAGTCGTTAAGTTAATTAATTTAGTAAAGACACATCCGATACGGAAGCTGTGGATAATGATTAGGCTAAGTGTCTGTTTGACATAATTTTTATTTTGCTTTTGCTTCATGTCGAAGAGTTTTTGAAGTGAACTACCTTATTATTTTTTTTTAAATCAATTTTTAAAGGCACTTTCTATTTTAGAATTATTTTTAGAGGAAGTCACAATGGATTAGGTGTCGTTCTCTTTGTGTTTCAGTTTTCTGTTTTGAGTTTTGAATTCGTTTTGTGTTTTGAGTGTCTGTTTTGAAATTGTTGAAAATGCGTTCTAATAGTAGTTCATATAAATTGTTTCTCAAAATATAAAAATAGAAAACACGAATA